GCCCTCAGGAGGTACACCGGTGGGGCCAGGACATTAGAAGCCCTCCCCCTGTTGACCCCCCCCCAAGCACCAAGAAGACAGAGAGTACCCCAGAGCCCCTATCTATCCCTTGTGGCTAACAGCCACTGATGGACCTCTGCTCCATATGCTTATCTAATTCCCTCTTGAAACCTTCCATGCTTGTAGCCGCCACCACTTCCTGTGGCAGTGAATTCCAAGTGTTAATCACTCTTTGGGTGAAGAAGGACTTCCTTTTATCCGTTCTAACCCGACCGCTCAGCAATTTCATGGAGTGCCCACGAGTTCTTGTATTGTGAGAAAGGGAGAAAAGTACCTCTCTCTCTACCTGCTCTTTCCCATGCATAATCTTATAAACCTCAATCATGTCTCCCCTCAGTCGTTGTTTCTCCAAGCTAAAGAGCCCCAAGCGCCTTAACCTTTCCTCATAGGGAAAGTGTTCCAACCCTTTTATCATTCGAGTTGCCCTTTGCTGCACTTTTTCCAAAGCTATAATATCCTTTTTAAGGTGTGGTGACCAGGACCTTGTTGAGAACCCCTGCGTCCTGCTGCCCCACCCGCGTCCCCAATCAATGCAACGTCAGGAGAATATCTAGCATCCCCTGTTTTAATGTACTCGGAAACACCCTTACAGGTATCCCGTTCCCATCCACTTCAAAGCCCTGCAATGCTTGCCCTCCACTCCCCAAATAACCCCCAAGACGGGGAGCGAAAGCTCACAGCCCCTCTCCACCAACACCCCCCCCCCAGTTCTTGCAGGTCAAAGGATCCAAGCCCCCCTGCCCCCCGCGGCACTAACCTCTCTTTCCAACTCCGTGAGCAGAAGGGATTTAATTTGGGGGAGAATCGGCAACTGAGCAGCTCGCCCCTCTAACGCAGAGCTAAGAGGTGGAGCGTGGGGCGGAAACAACGGGAAAGACCAGAGCATGTTTGGACTTGCCTAGGAGGGGGGGGGGCACGGAGGGAGGGGAGGATTCAGTTTCAAGGGAGCCCCCCCCCCTTCGTCCTTCTTCAAAGGGCAGCAACCTGTCTGTTTTTATTTTGCAGAGTTGGTCCCGAAGACCCAGAAACGCAAGATATAGAAGGCAGGTGGGACTATTCCACACCCCAAAGCTCCAAAAAGCGGGGGGGCGGGGGGGGCGGC